GCTAAGGGTATAATTAATTTTTAGTTAAACTAATAAACTATACTAACCTACTTATTAATTAGCTAATTAGCGCTTCTAAAAGCGCTTATAAATATACTAGTAGTCTAGCCCCGCTATAAGTAAGCCGGCCTAGACCTCGCTTACTTAAACCTAGCGATAAATTTATTAGGACCTCCCTTTAACCTTAGTCTAGGCCCCTTAACTAGGAAAATAAAAACCTAAGGCCGATACTAATAACTTAATAAGTATAGTACGAAGCTAGTATAATAACCTAACTACCGGCCTAGCTAAAGGCTAGTATTAATAAAAATTAGCCTACTAAGCCTTATAGTAGAAAAAAAAAAGGTAGAGCTTAGGAAGATATTATTATAGGATAAGGTTAAGGATAATTATATAATTAACTATTAACTAAAAACGCTTATACTACCGATTAACGCTATATACACCGCGTATATAAAGGATTTACTTTTTAAGGTTACTTTATTATAGGGCTAACGTGATTCCGACTAACTAAAATAATACCTATAATAGCTAGCGTAAGATTCCTATATATTATAACTACGACCTAGTATAAGGGTAGACTAGCTATAAAAAAAGGGGAGGGTTTTCCTTTAAGTACTTTAGTTTTTCCCTCTTATTTAATACTAAAGTTCTAGATACCTTTAGATAGGTTACTAGTATAATCTTAATTAATTAATTGCTCTTTATTTACTATTACTACCCTTAAAGGGATATTCTTAGCGACTACTATATATACGCGGTAGGTAATTATAGCCTTTAGTCTAAATATAGCCTTAACTTAGCCTTAGTCCCTTTAATAGGCTCTCGCCGCGGTATTAAATATAACCGCGATATCTTTACTTTAAAGGCGCCTCGCCGCTATAGCGCTTATAGCTTTTAAGGCTATATTTACCGCCTTTACTATATCCTTTAGTTTATAGCTTAGGATTTTAAGCGGCGCCTTAATAAGGACTATAATAATCTTATATTTATAATATAGTAAGACCTATTTTACTATAGCTTTATATTAAGTTAGTCTTTTAGTCTCGGCTATAACTATAGCCTAGGTTTACTTAGGGCCCCCTAGGCCTAAAGCGATACTTAGGTAGAGTTCTTCTTTAACTACCTCCTTAATTACTTCCTAGATTATTATCTTAAAGCTTTCGTCTACGCGGAGTACCGCTAATAACGCGCTACTAGCGCGGCTCTTTACCTTAAAGAGCCGTTCGACTACTACCTATACCTTACTAAACTATACGCTTAGGATAAAGCCTATAAGTTTATTATATACCGCTTTTTCTATAAGGTTACTTAGCGCTTAAGCTAGTATTATATCGCTATTTTAAGTTTATTAACTTACCTTATTAAGGTATATAAATTTAGGTAGCGTCTCTTTACGCTATACGCTTTAATCGAGCTTAATACGTTAATAGCCGCTATTATATTTACCTACCCCTTAGCCTTAGTATAGTATTATTACTAATAGTAATTAATACTACTAAATTAATTTTTAATATTAGTTAGTATTTTAGTCGCGATATATACTTACTATAAGTATATATCGATTTCGTAAGAAGTTTTTTTAAGATAGGTTATATATATTAGTTTTATTATTAATAAGATCGCTACTTTTATAAAGCGCTCCTTTTTATTTTTTATTTATTTATTTAGTAAGATATTATTTACTTTTACTACTCTTATAATCTTTTAAGCTAGTATCTACTTAAATACTTTCCTTACTATAAGTAAGAAGGAAATTAGTTTTTATCCCTTTACTATATAATAAGCTTTTAGCTTCTTACCTTACTTTTAAATTACTATTATATTTATACTATAAAACTATTTTAGAAAATATAAGAGTTAAGTATAAGTATTAAAGATTATACTTAGTTATTAAACTAAGGCTAGTTTATACTTTTTAATAAACCTTAAAAGAACGCTATTTAGACCTATTACTTTCTAGCTTACTATCTTACTTAGTACTATTATAACGTTAGCTAGCTAGATTTATTAATTAAGTATAAGGGTTACCTTAGCTATAAGCTAAGATAGCTCTTAAGTTATATTAGCTTTTAATAAAAAGAACTTAACTATTAATATCTAGGCCTTTCTTTTAAAGGTTTTTATTAGTTAATCCTTACCCTCCTTAATTAATAGTAGGATATAAATTAGTTTTAGTAGTTATATATTATAAAGTCTAGCTTACCTCTTTATATTTTAAAGCTTAGTATTATTAGCGCTAAATTCCTTTAAGAAGTCGCTTTAGTAAGCCCTCCTTACTTTATAAATAGTTTACTTTTAAGCCGCTATTACTTTATATAAGTCTTCTTAATTTACTTTACTCTTTTCTTACTTATACTTCCTCCTTACCTTTTTAGCCTCCCTTATTACTCTTCTTACCTTTAAGGTAAACTATATATTACCTTTAGGTAATATTCGCCCTTAGTATAAAACTATAGCTATCGCGATCTATACTAAAGTAATAAAGATATAGTTTAGGTCTTAGTTAATATCTTTTAATATTTAAAGTAGTAGCTAATATAGTCCTAGCTAAGATATAGTCTTAGCTTTAACTAGCTTAGCTTTTACTTCTTTTTACTTTAGGGCTAGTTTAAGCGCTTAAGCTTAGGTATTAACCTATAGTATAATAGTTTAAGAGATATAGTCTAACTTAGTTAAGTTTAAGTTAAACTTAGTATATTATATCTTAGTCTTTAGTATTACTTAAGCTAGGTTAATAATACTATCTCTTTAGCTATAAAAAAATCTTATATACTTCCTATTTAAAGTAGTAAGTTTAAGTTATAGTTTTATTACCTTTTATAAAAGTTATATTATACTATCTAAGGTTTTATTATATTTATCTTAAAGTAAGTAATAGATATTAAAGTCCTTTAATATTATTATATAGTACTTTAGTTTAATTATACTTAGGTCTTATAATATTCTAGCCTTTATAGCCCTTAATAATAAGTAAATCGTTTATAATTTAATACTATCTTTAAAAATTACTTTATTTTAGTTTAGTTTAAACTAAAGTAACTAAGTCCTTAGCTTAAGCCTTTTATATATATATAGTATATACCTTCTTTCTTTATAAACTAAGCTATAAAGCGCTACTTTAAAAGGTAAGGCCTTACTTTTTAATATAGCTTTTACTTCTTATAATACTATTAAGTTAAAGCTAGCTTAGTAGTAAAGCCTTAATTAAGCTAGCTTATATTTTTTTATATATTTTAGAATAATACTTTTAGTTATATATAAGTAAGGTTAAGGTAAAAAGGGTTATTTATATAAAGAAAGAAGTGCTTTATCTCTTAGTACTTCTTTATTTACTATACTAATAAATATTATTTATACTTAGTTTAGCCTTCTTAGCCTTACTAGCTAGTAAGTATCTTAAGCTTAACTTTTTATTTTAGCGCGGTTTACTTAGTCCTTACTTTTAAACTATAATTAAATTAAGAACGCTTTATATTTTAATAGTAAGTAATACCTATTACTTAGTATAAGTCTAGGTATTTATAAACTACTAAGGTTATTATAAGTAGTTTTCCTTTACCTTTTCCTAAGCTTTATTTACTATAAGGTAAGTTTAAGTTTATAATAAGTAGTCCCTTTAATATAAAACGTAATTATAAGGGATTTTACCTTTTTTAGCTTTATAATTATCCTTACCTTTATTATATACTATATTCTTTTATTAGCTATAAAGTTATATTAATATATACCGCTTAGTAATATAGCTATACTTATAGTAATTATAGTATCTTTATAGTTAAACTAACTTATTATAAGGTTTATATTAAAAGATTTATACTTTAAGGACTAAGCTTTAGTTATAAAGCTTATTAACTTTTTTTAAGCTATTAACCTTAATAAGTATAGTTATTACTATTAATATCTTAGATTATAAGTATAGCGCTTAAGCTTAAAAGACCTTAGCTTTATTTACCTTTATAATCTTATAAAGTAATTACTTCTTATTTATTATTACTACCTTTAAAAGGATATTCTTAATAACTACTATATATATATAGTAGGTAATTATAGCCTTTAGTTTAAATATAGCTTTAACTTAGCCTTAGTCCTTTTAATAAGCTCTTATTAAAGTATTAAATATAACTATAATATCTTTACTTTAAAAGTGCCTTATTATTATAGCGCTTATAGCTTTTAAGGCTATATTTACTACCTTTACTATATCTTTTAATTTATAGCTTAAGATTTTAAGTAGTACCTTAGTAAGGACTATAATAATCTTATATTTATAGCGTAGTAAGGCTTATTTTACTATAGCTTTATATTAAGTTAGTCCCTTAGTCTTAGCTATAACTATAGCCTAGGTTTACTTTAGGCCCCCTAGGCCTAAAGTAATACCTAGGTAAAGTTCTTCTTTAACTACCTCCTTAATTACTTCTTAGATTATTATATTAAAGCTCTTATCTATATAAAGTACTATTAATAACGCGCTACTAACGCGGCTTTTAGCCTTAAAGAGCTATTTAACTACTACTTATACCTTACTAAACTATACGCTTAAAATAAAACCTATAAGTTTATTATATACTACTTTTTCTATAAGGTAACTTAGCGCTTAAGTAAGTATTATATTACTACTTTTGATGGTAGGCACCTATGTGCCTACAGATACGCATGCGCACAAGCTGTAGGCTGAGTCACAGTCACGACAGGTAGGGTAACCGGTGATGACTTCAATTGTAACTAACTAGGGAAGAGGAAGCTATTCACAAGAAACGGAATGTGCACCTGGTAATGGGGGCATGCAGCCGGGGCTGCGTGCCCTGATCGCGGGGTAGGGTGTCACGTGGGAGTCGTGCATGAACCGTGATGGTATCCCGATTGCACGGGTTACTCAGCAGGTTAGTATTCCAACACAGGCAGTCTTTTCTTTTCGTGATGGAATCCGAAGACTGCCGTGCCTGCCCTTCATTCCGGTCTCAATGAAGGGAGGCTCGTCATCATGGAGTCGTTTGTCGTTAGGTGGTGTCTGCGGTCACGGGTCGTTGTACATATCCTTCCACTCGAATCGTCAGCCTGTTCGTCTCAATCAACCGTTCCAAAGCACGGTTGGGTGCTGCTTTGGTCATCGCATCAGCCGGGTTGTCATCCCCATTGATCCAACGGATCTCTGCCATCTCGCGCTGCTCGTAGGACTGCCTTAGCGCCATGATATCAATCATGAGTCGCTTCTCTTTCGTGGTCCCGAGCTTTACGAGGCATTCGTATAGCGAGTATGAGTCGGTGCAGACAATGAGGGGAGTCGGGGGTAGGTCCAGCTGCTTGACAATAGCCTGCAGGGTGGTCGCGATGACAATGGCCATATCGAAACCTTGGACCATGCCGTAGATCTCCGAGGCTAGCACGCTCCGGGTCACTCGCTTGCTCTTCGTAGATGACCAGTGCAGGACATTGCCTCTGATCGTGAAATCAGCAGGGCTCTGTTCCTCGTTGGCGAGCACAATAACAAAGCCCAGTTGTGAGCTTAGGTCTTTGTTGTTCGCGAACGAACCGTCCGTGAATACCATTAGCTTCGCAGTCGAAAAGGCCAAGGGAACATAGCGGAGTCCTCGTTGCAGGTTGTCGGTCTGCCATTGTATCCGCTTGTTCAGGGTCTTGTAGTCCGGGGCTTCCGGCTGCTGCACTTGTGCTGCGACTGAGTAGTCGAACGTGGCCTCGGGCTGGCAGATTGATGCGATATATGCTCCGCGCGCGCTGTTGGGCGTATTGCTGCGCGCGATCCGTGGAGGAGAGAAAGATGGTGGCTAACTTCTGGCCTTGGCCCTTCTGCTGGATGATAAGGTCGTCTTTTTCGGCTAGAAGTGTGCAACCATTAAACTCGAGGGGAGTCGCGGCCGATAGCTGGCTCCTTGGTTTCGAGCGGAGCTTAGCCTTCTGGATCTCTCTTTCTTCTGCGGCCGCGAACTCAGGGGAGGCGAGGAGGAGGGTGTCATCCGTCTGCATAGCGACCATGCCGAAGCCGGCGGCTTGATCATTGGAGATCAACAAGCAGGGGTCAAAGGTGGAATGTGTCATACCGAGGCGCTCACGATGATGCCTATAATATGTCACGAACCAATGGAGACCTGACTCTGCTATGCCATACAGGGGAAGGATGACATGGATGATGGTGTCTGGGGGATAGCGGGGCACTAATTCCGCTGGGAGGCGTGCGAGTATCGTACGATTCAGGGGGGTTTTGGACTGAATATATGCTTGTGTGATATCACGCAGGAAGACGGAGGCTTCACCTGCGAGGAGGGGCAATTGAGAGGTAGCCGCTGTGCTGCCCGTTGCACGGTCGGCGACTGGGTAAGGATATTCCTTTATCACGATCGTTATAGCCTTGAATGACGAGACGGGATTTCTCGTAGGGCCTTGTGGTTGGTCCGAGTCCTTTAACTTCGCGGACCATGCGTGCTTTAAAGAGTCTTTGGCCTTTGTGGGCCACGGGGTCGAAACGAATGAACTCAAACACACCCTGTGCGATTAGGTTGTTAATCTCTTGGGTATCGGACTGTTCAAAGGGGGCACCTGGTGTGGTGATGTGGCCTTCGCGGCGCAATTGAACAGCGTGATCATAGTGATTAACTTCCTTCTTTGACAGGTTGGCTACGCCGGTCTTGGGCTTGTTCTTGGAGCCTTTGGGGCGTCCTCGTCGGCGTTGTTCAGGTAGGAGCACAGGGCAGGGGCATCATCTTGATCGGGGTTAGGGGTGCATTGGGGTCGACTCGTCGGGGATTTGGCTGCGAGTCGTCGTGGGGTTGTGATGAGGGGGCCTGAGGATCACGGTGGTATTTCTTGACCGCTGTGATCCTGAAGTTGCGGGGGCCATTGACATGATTGATTGTTATTTCGTGGCCGTTATTGCCGATAACGATCCACGGGCCGGTCCAGCCGTCAGCCTCTCTCCACACGAGGACCTCGCTCTGCAGGGGAAGCTCTGCAGCGCGCTCTACATTTGGTCCATTCCTCGTGTTGAGGGCATCTCTAACCTGACGGGCAGCGGCAGCACGGTGCAGAGCTGCCATGGCTTTCCGAATAGCCTCTGCGCGCTTGATCATAGGGGGAGAGGGCGGTGAATCGTGGTTGATTCGTGGGTATGCGCCGAAGACGAGGAGGGTAGGGACAAGGCCATCCGGGCCGGCTGTGTCATTGACTGCCTTTACAGCCATTTGGAGGAGGGCATCTGGGCTTCTCGACTCACCCAACTCTGCTTGGAGGATATCGTAGGCGCGGCGGAGGGGCCGTGTGCCTTTCTACCTTTCCAATCGAGTTGTGGGCTTCGATAGGCACCTGCCTGCAAGTGATACCCATCAGCGATGCCTCTTTTTGGAACTCCTCTGCTGCAAAGTTAGTGCCGGCATCGTGGCGCATAAAGTCCGGGGGGCCTTGGTAGGTGTCTATCCACAGCATCCGTAGCGTTTCCCAGGTGTCTCGGGCGGTCATCGAGGGAGGAACCTGGCGCCTTGGAACGCTGTGGCTTCGTCGATCACGTGTAGCACAGGCTTTCCGCCTATTTGGACTACATCCGCGGTTATCTCGAAATTGAACTCGCGGTCGTCTCTAAGGGTAAACCTGAAGCTTTGGGGAGGTGCCGTTGATTTGACAGTGGTGGCACATCCTCGTGATCTCACGGATTGACTGCTCATCAATATCATCATGCCCGGCACATCTAAGCAGTCGGTGGAGTCTAGCTGTGGCCGGGTGACCGAATCGTCGGTGAAGTCGTCGCAATTCGCGTTCGGTCAGGAATACTCTCGTCTCTTCTTCACCTAGATGGAACCATGCGTGGCCCCATTTACGTACTGCGGGAACGCGAATGTCATCGCGGACGACTTCGTTGGTCTGATTGTTGAAAACAAGCCTAGCCGGTCCATATCGGCTAGGAGAGGAGGAACGGGGTCTTAGTGGGAAGAACGTGGAAATCAACGGGCCCGAATGCCGTGCGAATCGCGGTCGCACCGACAGACACAATCCGGGGTCCATCTCCAAAGGAGATGCCTGCCTGGCCTGCGCGGGTGGTATCGAGGGTAGCGCAGTGGTCTTCGCGCTGCCAGGCATGGAATTGGTCTAGGCCAGCGGTTGAAACGTCGGAAGCACCTGTGTCGAGCATGATGCCCTGATAACGCGTTGTGTAACGGTCATCGACAAGGAATTGTTGTGCCGGGGCCTTTGAGGAGCGCTATAGGCATCTTCCTTAGTCAGACGGTGTAAAACAGCGTAATCTGCGAGGAATGATTGCGTGAAGAACAGCGAGCCAATCGCTGGGTCTTCATCGTCAATTTCATTGGCAGTATCATAGTCAGGGACAGGGTCTCGTCAAGTTCATGACCTTCGAATTCGGCGAGGAACATGGCGAAGTCCGGGGTCGTGTCGGAGGCATTGTGGGCATTAAGGAAATACATCCGTGATTGTTTCCGTTCTTCTATGGTATGCTTGGTAGACCAACAGCCAGCTTTGCCGCAGATGAAGCACACCTTCTTTCTCTGCGGCTGTCGTTTGGGGTTCGCGCTGTTATTGTTGCGGAAGGGGGGTCTATTCTGTTGATACTTGCGGTCGGTATACCATTGCGCTACCGTTGTCCGTGATCGCAAGTTCAATAGAGGCGCGGAGGTCGGCAAAGAGTTGTTCGCAATGGGCGGGGCTTTGTACAAGGCTTGCTTGAGCTCAGGCGTTCCACGGCAAGCGCGGATGACTGCGTTGCGGAGGTTGCTTTCGCCAGCTATTTCCGGCCCAATCGCTCGTTGACACAATTGGAGCTTGTCAAGCATTATATCAAGCACAGCGTGGAGGTCCTTGTCACTGTGCTTGCTACGGACACTGTTGAAGGTGATAGTTGACCAGTCCGTATGGTAATGCTCCAGATTCACGTTGGTATCGAAATGTTGCTTAAGTTGTCGGTAAGCGGCGGCGAACGTGAGTCTGGGTCAAGATAAAGGTCATAGTAGGTCTTTGCTCGACCTGTAAGGGCGCGGGGAGAAAGGCGTGTAGCTGGCTCTCGGGGACTTCAACCGAACGGCAGGTGGTTAGGAGTTCCTGATCTTATCGTCAAGGAGATCGTAAGGTTGACCTGAGTAGGCATCTTCCTTATTCCAAATCTTGACGAAGAGGGCGAGAGTCTGGGCATTGGTCGGGGTGTTCGGCACGTCTCGTGGTGGCAATGTGCGGTATGGGGTGTATTGTGGCGGATCTGACTTGGCTCTTGGGAATCGCCACTGAATTGGGGTAGGTAATAGGGGAGCTGGTGTTACCTGGGAGCTATCCTTGTGCGGTGAGGGAAGGTGTAGCTCGTCGGAGCGTTTGTAAAAGCGGTTGGGGTGACGGATTGAGTGGCCTGCTGGACAGGTTGTACAGGCGGTTGAATAGGTGGTGAGAGGGCAAGGGATCGCTGCGGGCGTGGGTTGTGCTCCTTCGTCGATGGAGGCGACCGGGGTATCCTGGGTTTCCAATATTCTTCGGTGACGAGGAAGCGAGAAGATAGTCATGTCGGCATCTTCTCAAGGGCCAGTGATCACTTCCTTCGTACGAAGATAGTTGACGAATGCAGCTCGAATCGTTGGCTCAATCCTTCCGAAGAGTGCACTATTCCATCCTTCGAAGTGCTCTTGGAACATAATAAGAGTGTCGATTCTCCTACATTGGCTCTCTCATAGTCGGTCCACGCACGGGCGAGTTGTGTGATCAGGTGGCGTGGCGTTGGCTCTTCCTCTGGGTTCACAGGGTATGCCAGAGGGATAGGTCAATGTCTGACAGGTCGATCGGTATGCCAGTATATTTGTCCAGCCATCCTTGCACTCTCTCCTGGCTTGGGGATCGCGAGCAATATAGATAGTAGGGACGGGGTATTACTACTGCCTCCCGGGGCACTGCTGCTAGGTCCTGCAGACATAGTGTCGGAGGTGAATGGTAGTAATCAATTGTACTGATTAAAGCACAATCGCGAGGAGTCGGAATGCGTTGCTGACGCAGCTAAGCTATGTCTTTTCCTTTCCTTCGAACGGTCGGTGAGTTGCTCGGCGGAACGGCAGTTAGGAATAGCAATAGGTTAGCCGTAGGTTCTGCTTCTTTCTTCCGAACGGCACAGTGAGTTGAAGGCGGATCGGAATAAGGAGTGTCTCCTGCTCTTAGCACAAACTTGTCGTCTTCGAACGGTCGGTGAGTTGCTCGGCGGAACGAATCACGGAGTTTGTCTCTTCTACCCGTAGAGGAAAGTATCACTTTCTCCGAACGGCACGGTGAATTGCAGGCGGATCAGATCGGTGACTCTTCGTCTACCTTGCTGCTCTGTGGCTCCTTCGGGACCTGGAACCACTGATCAGTGATGGTAGGCACCTATGTGCCTACAGATACGCATGCGCACAAGCTGTAGGCTGAGTCACAGTCACGACAGGTAGGGTAACCGGTGATGACTTCAATTGTAACTAACTAGGGAAGAGAAGCTATTCACAAGAAACGGAATGTGCACCCGGTAATGGGGGCATGCAGCCGGGGCTGCGTGCCCTGATCGCGGGGTAGGGTGTCACGTGGGAGTCGTGCATGAACCGTGATGGTATCCCGATTGCACGGGTTACTCAGCAGGTTGGTATTCCAACAACTTTAGGTTTATTAACTTACCTTATTAAGGTATATAAATTTAAGTAGCGTCTTTTCGCGCTATATACTTTAGTTAAGCTTAGTATATTAAGGGCCGCTACTATATCTACCTACCCCTTAGCCTTAGTATAGTATTATTACTAAGGGTAATTAATACTATTAAATTAATTCTTAGTATTAGTTAGTATTTTAGTTATAATATATATTATAGAGTAAGTAAAGGTATATATATAGGTACTATTTATAAGATAATATTAATAAGCTATATAAAGCTCTCTTATATATAGCTAGTCTATATATATACGTATAAGATCTAGCCTTTTATATATAACTATATAGCTTAGGCTATAGCTTAAGCTTATAACCTATAATAGTTAAAAACTCTTATATAATACCCTCCCTTAAGCGCGGTATAGCGTTACTTAATTAACGGCTTTTATACTATTAAGCCTATACTACTAGCTCTACCTTACCCTTTCCTATTAATTATACTAGCCTTACTAGCCCTATTATCCCTACGCTTATTAGCTTAAGTAGCTGGAACCGGGCTCTATACTTATTAGCTAGCTAGCTATTTAAATAAGGGCACGACCTATTATATACGCCCCTAGGTAGCCGGCGGCCGGCCTAGACCTACGTAAGCCTTAGGTTACCTATCCCCTTAGCCTTAGGCAGCCTCCTTTACCTAGGGGTATATAAGGCGGTATCCCTTTCTTCCTCTTTTTTTTCTTTCTCTTTCTTTTTTAACTATAATAGTAATAATAATAAGTAAGTTCTACTTTACTTAAAGTATTAGTTCGTTCTTAGCTATATAGGCCGCTTTATTAATATATACTTATAGTAGTAGCTATAATAGTAATAATAGCCTTAATAATAATAACTTTAACTAATAAGTTCTTATAAGAATATACCCTTATATTCCTATTTTACTATTATAAAGAAATAATAGGTATAGGGAGGCTTTATAGAATAAGCTAGTAAAAAAAGGCTCTATAATATAGTCTAAGGGAATAACCCTTAAAAGATAAAGACCTCTACTAAATAACTATACCTTCTTCTAAGAAAAGCGGGTTAAGATAAGCCTATCCTTATAAATAAAAATATATATAAAATGCATAAGTTAATTATAAGTAGAATAGATACCCTATTACTTATTTTAGCCTAGCGGTTCTAAAGATATCTACGATACGAGAATAGGTAGGGTATAGAATATTCTAGTTAAATCTACTACTTATACTAGAACCTATAGTCTTACATTAACTATTACGCTATAATTAGACTACCTACTAAGTTAAGAAGATATACTATAGATAGAGCTTTTTAAGCACTATAGAATATACTAGAAAGCTAACTAATTAGTCTACTAGTAGGCGAGCAATAGTCTATAAAAGACAAAGGATTTCCCTAGGAGTAGTAGATAAAATAAGTAAGTTCGTAAGTATCTTTTATAACGCTATTCTTTTAATAT